TTACCGGAAGTGCAATAAAAACGGCATATAACTCAAAAGCGGGAGCATTTTACTACACACATATAAATTATGAAAGTGTTAAGTGAAGAATGTCAGACACAAAAAAACAAAACGATCGGTTCAAATGTTTCCAAATCGCCCCTTGATATTCTTTGATTAGCCACAAATAATTTGGCAAGGTTCAAATTCTTGACGTCATCGGACCGGAAGTTACTTATACGAGAATTTGAAAATATTAATATAATATTTTAGATTTAATTCTATCATTTGATTCATGTCGTATATCTTCGTAGCCCATATAACGATATCCCTTACAATGTTCACGTTTTGCTTCCAAATACTGTGACGTCATCAAACCGGAAATTAGGTGTTAAGACTACATAGTTATATTTTCCATATTTTCATACGTTATTTAACTTCACAACGAACATTTATCCACTGCGAACTAAATCGGTATCCACTTCCCGTTTTTGAATTATGACGTCATCAAGCCGGAAATAACTTGTATGAGTACAGAAAATGTTTACTAAAATTTATCACACCGTTAAAGATGCATTTTTTGAAACAAAATAATTGATTGTACTGGAAAGGATTTACTTGGTGATCCTTTGTTCTTACATAAACATATTCATACTCAATTCGGCAGTGTTTAATGAACAAATTGCCTGCCCGACCACTCTCGTTTGTAACAACAAACGCGAACCTCTAGTTCTTCCTTTTTTTCCCGGACAATACTTCTCCGCAGGTTTTCTCCTAAACCGTATATGGTATGGATTTGTAACTTTCAATATATATCGACCCTCATCCGAAGTGGTGCATATTACTCTGACGTCATGATGACGTCATCCGGTGTCAAATTACAAGCGATTTTAGGTGAAAAAGGGTCCAATTACTTTCACTTATAACTCTTGAACAGCATAATCAGTGATGTTTATATTTTGTAATCAAATAGACTTTGAGTTGATTAACATTTCTTTTTGTAAACGTTAACTCACTTGACCCTTTCTTCCGGGTCAACCGGAAGGTTAAACTTAGGTGAATTCAAAATGAAGACTTTAGCCTAAAATCAAAACAAAGCAAAACTTCTTCCATACGGTTTACGGTATGATCATAAAGCCTAGTGTAAACTTGTACCACGTTACCAAGATACTATATATTTTGTTACGTCATCATTACGTCCCCCCTGTGCTATTTTTTAGAACACGCGTAAAAACATGTTTTTAGAACTTGCAAAATTGTAATTTTTACCCTATTTTTGTCCCTCAATAAGTCAACTTGCCAGGATTCTCAGAATATTTTCCTTCTGGATTTGATCAGAGCCAACATTGGTCTTTCAATATCTGGTGAGAGAAGTTTTTGGGAATCGTCCCTCGCTATTTTTCCTCTCATACCTTAAATGCAGACAATTACTCTTTCGTGCCATTCTTTCGTTAGCTCGGAGCAGAATTTTATTAGCCCATGCAAAGACAAAGAAAAACATTAAAAATGAATTTATTTTTAGATGTTAAGCGTATGTTGCATAAAACTCCAAACTCCATACTGAAGTCTACCGATACGGTTTCTATTTTTGAGCTGCCATATTTTTTTATGTGCAGCTCCAGACATGCGCTTCAAAAACTAGACCATGTCTTCCGTGTTTTATGTAGGCCTATGTCTGCCGAGTCAGCAACAAAGTTCATATAGTCTAAGAGTAAACAGCGATCAAACTCTTTTTTATTGCCTTTTATAACTTGGTTGGCTGTCAAGAGTACAAAGCAGGAAGACAATTCCTTTAAGGCATTTTCAGCAAAGATGTGTTAAAGTTTCAGTCTGTCGTCCTGTGTGGAGAATATATATATATATATATATATTATTTAGTTGTATTCAATAGAAAGAGCCAACGAACTGAACCTTTTGTGTATGTGCTCAACAACTCATTCCTCAGACTTCAATTGTTGTTGTTGTTGAGTGATCGGGCCGATCTCGATCACCCTTTGTTTCTGTCAGATATATTTTTGTTCATTGTGTAATTGGGTGATCAAGCACAACCCGATCACCGTTTAGTAAACTAAATCACAGCGCTTACATTATTATTACCCATGATCATTGGGCCTGTTAGGCGCAAGGAGGCTAATTCAAACACAATAACCATCCCTGCTCTGACAGGTAGCCATTTACTCCTGGGTGGAGAGAAGCAATGAGTGACACCGTGCCTTGCCCAAGGGCACACGCACCATAACCCCAGGCGGGACTCGAACCCACAACCTGCCGAATTACCCGCAGACCACGAATTCAATACTCCAGACCACGAGGACGGCCACGGCATTCAACAGATATCGTGTTTTTATTACTACAATGTAGTACTATCTGCCCTAAATAAATGCTCTTTTGTTCAGCCTTCGGCCGACATTGCATCTTTTGGACAAAAAACCCAAAGAAAACAGCCCCCAAAACGGCATGCCATTCACATATTGAACTATGAAGAAATTCAGACATGACGGCTTTTGCTCGCACGATACAACGATCAGTGTATGGCCCCGCAAAGGAGTTGTCAATCCCCCTCCCCCCGTGTGCTTATCGCGGAAAGTTTACAATTTGTTTTCCTGCAAATCGAATCGTAGCGAGGATTGTACAACAATTTGTGATATCAACAACATTTGTTGCTAAAGACAAAGTATTACAAATTTTCATTCTAGTTTTACCCAGGATTCTTAGCAGCGACCATTTTTAACATAATTAGTTAATCAGACGGATTGCTCCTCTTGAAATGATTAATTAACCTATTTTTATTCACATCGCCGCAAACGGATGTCGTTAAAATATAATTTACAGTTAGGCAATTGGAATCATGTCATGGTGTATTGGTTTTCACTCATCGTAAATGACAGCCCCTGGAAGGGGGGGGTCAGGTTTGGATGAAGCGGGGGCTTAGCTGCCAACAGTGGGGTTACTGCGTTTTCTGCATGATTTTCTATTTTTTCTGCGGTCCAAGGGCAGGGTGGGTTTAAAAAAAAAAAAAAAAAAAACCACACACACACACACAAAAACACCCAGACTGGCCCCTCACCGTCCGACGAAAAGAACAGATCTTGCCCGATATTGATAAAATTATAATGTATTCAACATAGAGGCTAGACCAGAGTCACTATTTTTCAGGCATCCGTTCTCCCCCTTTTTAGTAATTTTATGGTTATTACTTTGTGTAGTATTTATATCGTTAGCAGATGGAACTGCCAGAGAAGAACAGATCGAAATCATGCACCCACATTTTCTTTTAGAAATTTTCTCTTAGAAAACCCCAAAGCGGGCGGTACTCATTGACGTCAAGATTTCGTAGCAAATAACGATCGCGTTTTTGTTTATTTGTTTTTTAGTACGCAATACGCCTCAAACAAGCGAGAGCCTAATAGAAGACGCGGAGCATCTTCTCAGCAATCTGTGACTTTGATTTTCCGCCTTCAAGTGTTTACGAAAGCCTTGACCAAACTTGGAAGTAAATACCCTTTGTTTTCCCTCATATTTCAACGCCCGCCATCGGACCGCAGTAATGTACAAGTACGGACAGATTTGCAACGGGCCAATAATGGGTCTTCACACCCCTCGCTTCGAGCTCAAAACTTGGAAAGGTTGACTACTTGTTTGCGGAGTTAATGTGCCGCGAAGTCACCTGAAGGGTTATGCATTAGCACGCGCTGGTGTCCCCAACCATTCTCAATTGGCCAGATAGATCACGGTTATCAGTTTAAAGTTGCTTAATTGAATCAGGGGAAGCGGTAAATGGCGTGGCGTGCGAGGGAGTTAAGATTGAAGATGCCTGGATTCTACCCCACTGTTTCTTCACGCCGTGCGCGCGCGCTGTGAAGTGCGAAATCGGAAGCCATTTTTAGTGGACTCAATTACTAACCGTGATGCATGGGTGCAGGGAAGCGAAGCTACCGAGCTTTACCGGCTTAGAAAAAAAAGCTCCAAAACTCCGACACGTACATATCTTTTTCTTCTTTCAAACAGGATGTATGTCTGTTTGTCTACTAAAGTGCTGCAGAGTCTTGTTGGCGTCGCGTCTGGAGAACTGATTCAATAGTATCTTCGATGGCGAAGTGCCCCCCATTCACGAAACTTAACGGTAGACGCGTTGTACGCCAAACCATCTTCGGCATGTTTTTAATCGGACTCTGGAAAGGTCGAAGAGACTGCTGCTGCCGTGAAGTGAATATTGATTTCTTAGGTGTTCCGAATCCATTTGGGGTTTATGAGCCCGATTCTAGGAATATACCGAATATGGGGGTCCGTGAGAGGTTTAGATATAGAACCGTAACGGGATCTCAGTAATTTGCAGGGGAAAAGTTAATCGGGGACCTCATTTTCGGGAGAGGGCATAGTTCCTCAGTTTTCTCCCAGTTGCCTATGAGAGGGGTTACAAGAAGGGCACATAGTCTCGAGAAGGGGCTTTCCCCCGCGCCCCGCCCTCTCCCGCCGTAGTTACGTCATTGAAGCGCTCATCTATTGTTCTTTTTTATGTTATTGTAACTAATTCAAATTTGTACAGGCGCGGGTAATGTCCTATACTCCTTGAACATTTTGAATTGTTATTGGTTTTAAGTGGATCCGCAGGGGGGGGGGGGGGGCAATTGGGCCATTGCCCCTAAAACGAACTTTATGTGACGTCACAAAAAAAGGCAGCTACTGCGTGCACCACCATCTTTTGCTTAAAAAAATTTATGGTTAAAGTAAAAGTCCAGGTTTTCGAGCCCAAGAAGGGCGAATCCATTTTTTCCCCCGATTTTATTTTATTTCATTTAAGTGGGGGCGGGGGTTGAAATAACACTCCTTAAAAAGAACTTCCTGATATTTTGAATGCAATTTTACATGATAATTTATATATTTATATTTTTGGCGCAGAGTCGACCTTCCAATACGTAATTGAACACACATGAAACAGCCGTTGTGTTTATTTTTAAAACTAAAGAGGGCGCTTGTACCTGGCTCACTATTGGCAGTAGAGGGCGTTGTCTACCGAAGCAGTCCAACTAGTACATCATGCATGACATGTATTTCATTTTCATGCGTAAAATTCTTTCCAAAAACGTCGTTACTTATGTTTTAAGGCATTGTTAGTCGGATCATCAGGTGAGTGGGAAAGTCAACAATTAATGATTTGTGGACCCGTAAACCGTGCCTTCCTTAAACCCCTGCCTGTGCATAGAAATCAATAACCACATCAATCGAACATGTTGTCATGGTTGTCGTTAACTAGGCCTAGGGGGCAGGCTAAGTAATTTAAGTTGTAGTCACAATGACAATGTGAATGGTCAATGTCACAATGACAAATGTTTTGCAGTCCAGTGCAGTGGATATTTATAATTTAGCCGGATCCGGTTTTAGGCCTACATGTATTTTCTTTAAAATTTCCTTAAGTCCAGAGCAACGAATCAGAAAAAGAAGATTGAATAGGCCTATCCTACCTAGTCCGAGTAACTTGGACCCAACTTATCGCCTTTTTTAACATTTGGACATGGTCTGGCGATAGTGGGGTCCAAGCTAATACCGCGACCTGGACAACATCATCCTGTCACTGTCCCAAAAACCAACATTTTCCAACAAAAAACATCAGATTTCACCTTCAAAACGGCCTCCAAATGACTAGATATGCCACCTGAGGTACAAGTAGACATCGATAATTAAGATGGTTGTACTGAAGTTTACTTACGATCCGGAAAAAAAGTGAAATTTTCCGTTCATTTCGGAGAGCTCCCCTCGCGATCTTGAACACGTTAAATTTCCGATCGTGTTTAATGTTTGAACGACGCGATTTCTTCTACATGCCCAGCGTACATTCGATGGTCCCCGTATCCCGAGTGCGATTCCGTTACCGAGCGCGCGCAATGCATCGATTATAATAATGAGTCACGTTTGTAAACACATACATGTGCATTTCGAGCTGTAAAAGGGAATTGGGAACCAGCTTGAACTGGTACCCGCCATAAAAGCTGCGCTAGTTCCCGACTCCCTATTATCGTTTGAAATGCACATGTGTTTACAAACGTGATCCAGTCTACTCATTATCATAATCGATGCATCGCGCGCGCTCGGTAACGGAATCGCACTCGGGATACGGGGACCATCGAATGTACGCTGGGCATGTAGAAGAAATCGCGTTGTTCAAACATTAAACACGATCGGAAATTTAACGTGTTCAAGATCGCGAGGGGAGCTCTCCGAAATGAACGGAAAATTTCACTTTTTCTCCGGATTGTAAGTAAACTTCAGTACAACCATCTTAATTATCGATGTCTACTTGTACCTCAGGTGGCATATCTAGTCATTTGGAGGCCGTTTTGAAGGTGAAATCTGATGTTTTTTGTTGGAAAATGTTGGTTTTTGGGACAGTGACAGTGATGTCCAGGTCGCGGTATTAGCTTGGACCCCACTATCGCCAGACCATGTCCAAATGTTAAAAAAGGCGATAAGTTGGGTCCAAGTTACTCGGACTATATCCTACCCTGCAATTAAATTTTGGAGTTAATCTAAAATAATAAAAGAAGTATATTCTTATTCTATTGAGTATTGGGATGAAAATAAAAATGGAAAAAGTCGAAGGCTGGGCTAGAACTAGCTGGAGGTACCCAGCCCTGAGTTTTATCATTGGGTTGTCATTTAGGGCTGAAGCTAGTTTTTCACGTAACCGAGCAGCGTAGGCAGGTCCCAATAAAAATTGTGAAAATTTGTGGAAAATGTTCAATTTTCCCCGTTACACACTAATTGCAACTGCAACTCACCCCAAACTTGCCTGGAATAACCATTACACAGGTCCTTGAAGTAAAAAACGATCCACGATGAAGATTCAGCCTACAATTGCAGTGAAAAAAGGAGGAATAACCGCTAACCTGACAACCTTGCGGGCATGGCCAGGACCGCAATTGGTTTGTGCACAAAAAAATTGTGTACAATGAATGGCGGTCGGTTACCAGGCTGTCAACTAGTCGTTTTTGCCGGCTGCGCTGGCTGTTGGCGCATGACGTCACGCGTAAGCGTAACACCTGATGACTGTTTCATGCACTATCGGTTGCGGTTCCAGTACCGCAGCTGTGATGCGAGTGGTAAACCTCATATTAGTGCATGAAACAGTTTTTTACTTCAAGGACCTGTGTAATGGTTATTCCAGGCAAGTTTGGGGTGAGTTGCAGTTGCAATTAGTGTGTAACGGGGACAAATTGAACATTTTCCACAAATTTTCGCAATTTTTTTTGGGACCTGCCTACGCTGCTCGGTTACGTGAAAAACTAGCTCCAGCCCTAAATGACAACCCAATGATAAAACTCAGGGCTGGGTAACTCCAGCTAGGCTAGAACCAGGGATCTCTCACTCATGAGGCAGAGACGCTATCTTCTCAGCCACACGTGCTGCACAAACGATGGTGGTAATATAATACGTTTTTGGAGGGCGCTGTTCAATCTAGCCAGCTACATTTCCTGCACTAAACTTAATTAAGGAAAGCCGGTGTTGCAATGTATGGCATTTATGAGCATATCAGATAAAACCTCCTTCAAAATAACATTTACTAAAAATAACTGTGATGGTAATATATCCACTGCCTGTTTTGTGCAATACTATTAATGCAACTGTTCTTTTTCCTTCTTGTTTTTACAGCATGCATAAATTACTGACCTTGTTGACGGGCCTGACGTTAGCCAGCCTTTTCTTCTACCTCCTCCTGAGTGTTTACGTCTTCATTCACACAAGCCGTCCCCCCTCGCCATTCAGCATAAAACGTGGTTTCATCAGGAACGCTACAGATCGGCCGAAGGTTTTAACTGGTCCGAGTCTGCATCCAGAAACAACCTTACCTCCAATCCATGGAGCTGTTCGTCATTACAAATCTCTTCTGGATAATCGGGTGAATTTTTTTGTGTGTGTTGCATGGGTGGCACAGTGCGTAAAGCCCTTGCCTCTCACCGCTGTGGCCTGGGTTCGATTCCTGGCTCGGGTCATATGTGAGTAGAGTTGTGTTGATTCTCTCCTGTGCTGCGGTTTTCCTCCGGAGTCCGGGTTCTTCGGTTTTCCTCCCTCTGCAAAAATCAACACTGGGTGTGCTCTGTTATAAGACGAGGGTTAATAGCGGCTTCCTAAGGTGCCCCTACACAACCTTCGGCTCGGCCATGTTAACTGAATCCCTCACAATTTACATGTAGCTTATGCTGCGAGTTAGCTGGAGTTACCCAGCCCTAAATTTTATCATTGGGCTGTCATTTAGGGCTGGAGGACATTTTTCACGCAAACCAGCAGAGTTGGCAGGTCCCAAAAAAAATTTGACCGCAATTGGATTTGTGCACAGCGCGTGTACCAGTTCGTTCTTGCCGGCTGCGCTGGCTGATGGCGCATGACGTCACGCGGAAGCGGAATACCCGAGGACTGTTTCATGCACGATAACAGGCAAACTTTGGTTGCCGTCCAGTAGCGCAGCTATGATGCGAGTGGTAAACCTCAACAGTCGTCGGGTATTCCGCTTCCGCGTGAGTGACGTCATGCGCCATCAGAGCCGGCAAGAACGAACTGGTAAACGCACTGTGCACAAATCCAATTGCGGGCCTCGCCATGACCGCACGGTTGTCGGGTTATGCCTCGTTTGTTTCACTGCAATTGTAGGCTGAATCTTCATCGTGGATCGTTTTCTACATGTACTTTAAGACCTGTGTAATGGTTATTCCAGGCAAGGTTTGGGTGAGTTCCAGTTGAAATTAGTGTGTAACAGGGACAAAATTGCACATTTTTGAATTTTTTTTTGGACCTGCCAACTCTGCTGGTTCGCGTGAAAAATGTCCTCCAGCCCTAAATGACAACCCAATGATAAAAGTTAGCGCTGGGTAACTCCAGCTAGCTGCGAGTAAGGAAAATTGGCTTAAATTTATTTAAATAGACCTGTCCCTAACATCCCATTGTTTTCCAACCTGTAAAAAATACCCTGGTGCCCCGCCATGCTTCAAAAGTGGCCGCCATGTTTAAAAAAAAAAATAATAACAACAAAAAAGACAAACATTTGGGACTACTCTAACTTTCCAGGATATTTTGGCTAGAAACCCTGCCAAAAGCAGTAAAATGCAACACTTGTCAAAATGACAAGCCTGCCCAATGAAACAAGATCCAGAGAACTGGTGAAAAAACTCAAGGGCAAACTGCCTTGCAAAAAGCGACCCCTAGCATCCAAAAGTATGTCTGCAAGTAGCGCCCCTAGCATATAGTGTCCCCCCCCCCCCCCCCCCCCCCCCGCGATAACCTGCCGCCACGAGAGGGCGATACCACGACCAACCAATATAACCCACGAACCCATCAGGAACCACGTCTAGGGAAACTCGTATCAATTGGTTGTTTGGCCTAATACATGTAGATGCAGGCGAGCAATGAGCATTCAAAACATTTCATTGTTGTTCCAAACCAAACTCTTAAATTTCTTCCAATAGTATTAAAGATGCAGCAATACTTTTATGCAACTTCACTGGTCAGCTGTTTTGTGGTGTGTAGTGTACGTGGGACTGAAATTGTGACGGGTTCATGGGTGATATTGGTAGGTCATGACAACGCCCTCTCACGGCGGGGTTATCACAGTGGCGGGTTATCGCATATCAAACCATAACGTCTAACCCCTAGACTATGGGCTCCGTACACAAGTACATGCATGTACCCCATCAACGGCTAGAAAAGGAGAGTTGGGGGTGACCTAGACTGGTTCCCGATCATTGCGTATTTCGAATGTATCCAAAGTTATTGGAGGTAGGGATTAGTCTCTGAGACCATCGCAAGTTGAATTCGATTGTATTCGTGCGCCAATGACGCCTGACGCTCCTGCAAAGACGCGATGGCCATAACTTTTGCACATTCAGGAAGTCGTGCATACTTTGCGCGCGAACCAGTACAGTATGGGCACTCTGTATCCCGTCGACGGAGCTCTCAAAGGAGGTAAAAACGTGCCCTCTTTTGTTGGTGCATGGAGCCCATAGGACTTGTACGTGTAAGTATCATTAACATATTAACTTCTTGCTTTCTTGCCTACCAGACAGTGGACTTGGGCTGCACCTCCTGCGCTGTTGTCTCAAGCTCCGGATACTTGCTCGGCACAAAAGCCGGGCCGGAGATCGACCGTCACTCCTGCGTCATCAGACTGAACATGGCACCGGTCAAAGGTTACGAGAAAGACGTCGGAACGCGGACAAGTCTCCGTGTCATGAACTTCTTCATGTTGGGCTTTGAGCCAGAGACTATGCCCCCCAATAGCCACATCATGGTCTGGGGTCTGTTGAAGAGAACGTCTTATTTAGAGAATGCAAGGAATTTGTCGAGACGACTAAGCACAGGCTCGACTATTCACGGCCAGACGCATAAAGGAGAACTGGAAGCAGAGGAGTTGTTTGCTAAGGAAACTGGACTTCATCCGTGAGTTTACAACGTGCATTGTTGCTTAATTTGTATTTCTTAAGCCTAACGCACCTGAATCCATCAAAATTTACACCCCTGTTTTGGAGGATTTTGGCGGATTCAGGATACCTCCATATTGGAAAAGTCGCAGGATTTTGATGGATTCAGGACAGTAAGCCTAGCGGTACTGCAGGATTTTGATGGATTCAGGATACCTCCATATTGAGTAGTTGGGGGACTTTGATGGATTCAGGATCTCAACAGATTTACTCCCGGCTAACTGGTGATTCAGATGGACTCACTGGCCACCAACATTTTTTTTGCATGGCAAAATTGATGGATTTTGGTGGATTCAGGATACTTTTTAGTAACAGTACCCAAGGGGTTAGGGTTAACCCAATTTTATGGGTTTCTCCCAGACAGGGCTCTGGAGTGCTCTGAAACATGCAAAACTAAATCAGGCCCACTTTACTCACAGTTTAGCCAGCAAATTTCTCCAAACATTCCAATTGGGCAAAGAAAATGTCCTCAGTATTCCACCTACCAAGTTTGCAGACTCAATTAAATTTTTTAAGGAGATTTTTCTTCAATATTTTGCACATGAGAGTGAAGCCAAGTGATTTCAAAATGGGGCTAAATACTAGACTTTTTCTGTGTTCACATGCACAATGATTGAAAAGCGTATCCATGGACTGATCCATGAACCACAAATATTTTAAGAGCGCATTGAATAAACCTGAAAATGAATGCTTTAAATCTCACACATTTCGAATATTCGAATACTCAATCAAAATCCAAGTTGTAATAATCCAATACAACATGTTAATTATTTGAAAATACACAGCACTAGTCAAGTGTAGGCATACATGTACAACATGCCGGTCGTTATTTTTTTTCTCCCAAACGACATTCGCATACATTATGGCATTTTGGACTACATTTCTAAAAACATGAAAAGAAAAGATAAAATTAGAAAAAATGAAAAGAATTCGAACGTAATGAAATTTGGACTTGTATTTCCCTTTAAAAAAAAATCCTCCGAAGCCTCAGGTTAGAAAAGAAAAAAAAGTCGGGTACAAAATGGTGATTCGAACCCGCAACCTTGCGGTGTAAAATCACAACCCTGAGCTATTGCACTGCTCGGCAAAACGTGGGGGAAAAATTAATTTTATACCTGCTTACGTATCATACAAGTACCGCTAAACAACCATGTGTGTGGATTTAGTTTGGGAAAAATAAGATTTGCATGCCGGCCAGTGAGACGCCATATGTCAGTAAATGAATTCCAGTTGTTGATGTCATATCTCAATTCCTGTTAATGTTCCTTTAAGGAGACATTGTTTTCGTCCCAAGCTGTACCAATAGGGAGACACCGGACATTATGGAGACATTTCAATGTCTCCCTAATGTTACAACTCCTATTTGGAGGCAAAATGTTACGTTCGCAAATACATTGTAGGTTAGATCGATAGCTTGTGGTTCAAAACATACATGTATATCAAAATTCATGGGGTAGGATAAGAGAAAATAATGTTTATTAGAAGTCACTAAAGTTGGAAAAAAAATAATTTGAATCATCAGTAATTGTTTCCTGCTTTGTGTTTTGACTCTCTTCAGCGTGAAGACAAGATCCTGGATATCCACTGGTTGGTTTGCGATGATGATTGCCATAGATATATGCCGAGAGATTCACGTATACGGCATGGTTCCATCCGACTACTGCGCGTAAGTTCTCCACTTTGGTTTCATTTCGAGGACAATTATTAGTCGAATACTGGACTCGATGTGTGTTGTATCTGGGCGCAAAGTGTTGAATGGCCAGTCATAATTTAGCCTTGTGATGTAAATGGAGATGTAGTCGAATCCATGGCAAGTCATGATATTTGATCGACTTGTGATGACTTGTGGTTGATTTGTGATTGACTTGTAATTGACTTGTGATTGGCTCATGATTGGCTTGTGATTGACTTGTAATTGACTTGTGATTGACTTGTGTGATTGATTTGTGGTTGACTTGTGGATGACTTGTGATTGACTTGCAATTGACTTGTGACCAACTTGTGATTGGCTTGTGATTGGCTTGTACTTGGCTAGTGTGGTCTGTATGTAAGCTTTTGTTTGTAACGTACCCAAATTTTACAAGGTTATATTCCTGTTTTGTGGGGGAAAAAACAATATGCAAATAACGAATGTTTATGAGTGCTGTTGTACGAATAATTTAATGAGGTAAGAGATGGATGATGAAATGGAAGGTCCCATCTGTCATTTCATGAAATTATTCTTTCCCTTTTAAGAATGTGAATTAATATTTATTTTATATAATGCGTGAATGAATTCTCTTCATCCGAATGGTAATACATGTAGTGCAATGGAAGTTCTGGAAATAATGTTGCATCCTGACGCCACTTTTTTTCATCATTTTATATCATCTCAATTGAGGTCAGTCATAGCAAAAAATTTGAAAAGACATTAATCTGGGACTGATTCCAATTTTGTTAGGAAATAATTTGAAAATGTTCTTGACTCTCCATAAACTTTGTACACAACCAGATATGTTGCGTCTGGATGTTACATTGTTTACAGAGTTCTTTTTACCATGGAATGGAATGTCTACTTCGGAGGTGCACATTTCTTGTGATGCATAATTTTGTGACACATTATCCATGACCTACCAATCAGATGACAGGGATTTATTCAAATGTTGTATAAAAAAGCATCCATGTTTACAATATGTGTTTTCATTTTGTTTTTGAAGGAGAAAACCCAAGAAGGATGTTCCCTACCACTACTACGAGACTCCCTATGTCAAGGAATGTTCGACCTACAACAAAGCACAGGGCGATAAAACGGGTAACCATCGTTTCATCTCGGAGAAGTCCGTCTTTGCGAGATGGGCTCAACGATTCAACATCACTTTCCACTATCCTAGCTGGTCAGAGGGACTTGACCCGCAATTGTTTCAAAAACCTGGCCCGTTATTAGAGACATTAATTCATTGGATCCGGACTTAGGTTTGTACCACTGAGACAGATATAGAAACAAAATTCCCACAAATCTGACCGGAGCCAATCATAAGTCAATCGCATGACCATCATCATCATCGTCATCATCACCTACATGTAGCAGTCGCAACCGAGATCTCGTTCACAATGCCACATGTACTGGGAAGGTCTTCAATTTCACATTGGGTGTCTCTGCCAATCACATCAATGTAGTTGAAAGGTCTTTGTCCTCTATCAGTGCACGGAAGTCTCCAACATAATACATGAGATATGACCTGGTTTACAGGGGGCCGTGTCATATTAGTCCGACGCCTCGTAGGTCTGACGCCTCATAATTCCGAAATTTCGGACTTGTGAGGCGTTGTACTTATGAGGCATAACATTTATTTATTCTGCCTCATAGGTCCGACGCCTCATAAGTCTGACACCTCATAAGTCTGTCGTTGGAAAAACGAGGCGTTTAATTTGTCGGACCTATGAGGCGTCGGAGCTACGAGGCGTCGGACTTATGAGGCGTTGGGCCTATGAGGCGTCGGACTTGTGGGCCTTTATTTGGTTAGGTGATGCAATTTTGTCGAACTTATGAGGCGTCGGACCTATGAGACGTCGGACTTATGAGCAGACCCCATTTACAGCACGATAGCAGTGGCCAGCAAAGCGATCTCATCGTTAGGCAACAATAGCAGAGACAGGTGGAATGTCTCCGTAGATCTGTTCCTTAGTCCTGACCATAAGTCAGTCATAAGTCCTCACAAGTTTAGTTATCGCAAGTGTCCTACTGACAGAGATGTAAATATCTTGTCACATGTCAGCTTTGATGTCCTTGCAAATTCATCACAACTCAATCACAAGTTAATGACAACCCATGTTTCGGTGGATGATCACAAGTCAGTCGTAAGTCCTCAGGAGTTATCTTAAGTGTATCACAAGTTAATCAAAAGGCAATTAAAAGTCAATCACAAGCAAATTACAAGTTGATAACGCTTTTACAAAGCCAATCACACACACAAGTTACAAAGTCAATCATAAACAAGTCACAACTTGATCACAAGTTCTTACCACTGAAATTTAATCACAAACAAATGACAAGTTGATCGCAAATTCTTACAACTTGAAAAAAAGTCAGTCACACAAACAAATCACAAAGTTAATCACAAACAAATCACAGGTTGATCCCAAGTTCTTACAACTCAAAGTCAATCACAGACAAATGACAAGTTGAACACAAGTTCTTACAACTCAAACACATTCAGTCACATAAACAAATCATAAAGTCAATCACAACAAAATTACAAGTTGAACGCAAGTTCTTACAACTCAAACATAGTCAATCACAGACAAATGACAAGTTGATCGCAAGTTCTTACAACTCAAACATAGTCAATCGCAGACAAATGATAAGTTGTTCGCTAGTTCTTACAACTCAAAGAAAGTCATACTTTAGTTGGTCATATCAAGTCACCAGCTGTTCATGAAATTATCTGTGACAATCATCATTTGTCATTGTTTGTGCAAACGTACTTAAGACTTGACTTGTGGTTTTACTCGTGATTTTACTTTGGATTGATTTGTGATTTATATTGTGATGGACCTCACTTCAACTCGGACCATTGAAATAAAATCTGGCCAGGGGCAGTTCTTTTCATTAAAGGGGACATTTTGCAGTACAAAGTAGAAGACCGAAACAGTGTATTTAAGTGTTTTGATGATTCACAGGGATTTATACAAACATATTTATTTATTTGTATATTATAGAATGTCCCTTCAATTGCACACTCACTCCAGGTGAAGCCTGCTCCTACTAGTTTTCTCTGTAAAATTTTGAATTTTCTGTATAAAATGACAATTATGTAAATTTGATTTTATCTCAAATAAAACTGTTTTTGAAGTATACATTATTGTATTGCTATTAAAACCATGCATTGTTTTGTTCTCCTGTTTTACATATAACAAAGTACAGAACAGTTTTGTTTTTTTTATTATTAAAAAACATGTTTTTATACCAAAGTTGATTGTTGGAACATTTGTCTGCCTTCTCTTGCTGGTCCCAGAGGGACAGCCTAATGACCTAGCTATTGTCTTCTTTGCACCTATCTCTCTCAAGGTTTGACTGACCGACTGCCAATCACTTGTGAACTGGACAGTGCTATCGTATAGGATAACCCGTAACACTAATAATTGGGGGTAAATCTGGCCTATTGTGTAGACCAGATGCATGAAAAACCTCCAGTGAATATCCCTTTTGAACAGATTGAAAAGATCTTTGCCAGCATTTCTAGGACCAGATTAATATCACCTGGCGTTGTCTTGTTTAAATGGTATAACATGCTTATTTTTGGCGGTGCATATGCATGCAGTAACGCCTCACCCTTAGATTCTGTAACTTGCTTGGCCAAGAGCAAGCCACATGAGATTGGCTTATTTTTGCTATCCTGCTGTGCGCGGCCAAACGTGTACACCCGTAGCAACCAAACTACTATACGAAGATAACCGGCATTGTAAGCAAATGCATACGGGTGTGTGCATTGCGCGTATTGTTCCCAACCGCTAGCGGTACAGAGCTGGTTTGAAAATAATTATTACGTAAGGGGTAGTTTGGAAAAGTGCAAGTAAACTGTAACTATTTTCATATTCAATTTGAAGTACATTTTAATTGTTTTCAGATTAAAATAACCAGCTATCGTCTAAAATCAAGCAAAGTCAAGCAGAATCTCTATTGACTGTTTTTTTTTTCGTGCGTATTCTCCCTCGGCTTCGCCTCGGGACAAATATAATGCTTTAAACGAATCACCCCGAGAGGCTAGAATTACTTCACTTCTCGAAGCAGTATATAGTCGTATATTATTCTTCCTATAAATAAAATCAGCTACTAATAATTTCCAATACTGAAATATAAACCCTAGCTAATTATAAATACCTGCTATCCACTGATATCTAATAAGCACATAAAATATTCATGTCTAGCATACGGGTTACCAGCGAAAATGCCAAGTAAATAATATTGTTGTCCCCCAGTTATTGGCGGTATATTACAGCGCCCCCATTCACTTAAAAAAACCAACCAACTACACGGCCTATTGGGCCACGCGATAACGGCTTGACGTAGTTGAAAGTACACTGGTGTTCAGTGCTCAGTTGTCATCAAACTCTGGCCGGATTGCACTCAAATTCTCGTAACGCACTCGGTCAAATGAAAAATAGGTCTGAAAAGCAAATAAAATGAACACGTTTTTTTAGGAGTGTGTTAATGACGTCGTGGTAAGTGCAATTTAGTTGAAAAGATTCAGAAATCCGCAAACATAATAATGGCAGATTTGAAACATTTAGGGTAAATCAAGATTGCTTCCAAGAAAAATTGTGATTTTAATTGCAGTGTACGTATTAAAATAAAATGATTTAAATAAAAAGATTCCCTGTAACTAGTCTGATGAGAGGAAACACTATGCCGCGATAAATTGATAATGTTGACAAACGTACATGTTGAATTTTACTGGCATCATCCGTGTCACTTAGGATGGAGACGAGTTCAGAGAAACTTGGTCTGTTGTTCGGATCCTCCTCCCAGCATTCACGCATCACGGCGTAACTAAACACATTATCAAGGAAACTGTGTGAGTGAAATTGGGGGGTCTTTTTTTCGGATCCCCCTGCCGGTGTGATCATTTAGACAGACATCAGGTGAATTTACGTTGTTGTATTTTGACAATAACGTATTGGTGACAATAATCTATAAAATGCGATGATTGAATCCTTGTGCATATGCGTGTCCTCAGTGTTATAAAGCTCCAAAGATAATGTAAGAGGGGCACACAGTATTCCTTTTGCCATCACAAAACACACATGAATTATTAACAGCAAGAAGCTTCAATCCTTAATACGGATGTTTCAACCTTGGTATTCACATGAACGAAGTTCAAAAGCTGCCCAACATATGCATAGTAGCCTGTGTTCTCAATTTATTCAATTTGTCTGCATCTTTTTGCCTACGAGACTACCATTGGGCCTAGACCTATACATTATATGCTTCTATTGAAAAAAAAGTATGGCCTACGGGGGATTGCGTCAAGTTTGCCTCAAGAATCAGCTTGAATATTGACACGCAGAAGTGCTGACGCTCGCTATCTACCGTTCCGCCAAGGAAACTTTTCAGCAGGTAGTTTGCCAGTAGCATAACTTTTGGTCCGCAAAACTACCTGCTGATAAAACTGTGCAACTATTAAGTTGACATCTTACCTCTTGTCGTCACAGTTGCTGGGCTTGGGCATACGGTATCCTCCCTTCAGCTTCCTGGCCAGTGACTCGCTCTTGGTGGTCGGGTAGGGGGTTCCACCTTGACAATTTCAGTTGAATATGCATTCAATATTGCGGAAAAGGGACAGGACCAATTGTGTAGAAGGTTCTTGATGTAAGTAAAGTTGCTTTAAACCGTTTGATGATATCTGGTCTCATTTCGTATATTTAATCTAAAGAGGGCAAGACAATTTCTTTTTATATTTCTTACCTATTGTGGCTATTTCCCACAAGAGAATACCAAACGACCACCTGATGATCAGAAAAAATAAGACAAGAATTCTTAAATTTCGTCAGGCCCGAATATTTCGAACATAAATTTAATGTTCCAGGTTTTGGCTTAGGTATCTTGCATAAAATACTCCATACGATAAGGTTATATAAGGTTCTTTGTACTTACACATCACTCTTTGTCGTGTACCTCTTATACCTGATTGACTCAATAGCCAACCAGCGGACTGGAACTCGTCTCTATAATCAAATACAAAGGAACAAACATGACAACTACTATTAACATCTGGTTATATGGACATGTTCCTTTTAACGCTCTTACATGCCAAGACCAACGTCAAGAATCATGATCCATCAAAATGGCAGTCTAGCAAGCAAGGTCAAATTACAGTAAATGCGACGATATTTTCTTTTTTTATGAGAAAAACTGACAAAGGATTACCTTAATTTGTCACGGTTGATTTGGACCTTGACTTGAGATGGAAGAACTAGTCATTGACTTGTGACAGACGAAATCGATTGACTTGTAATGGACCGATCCAGTAAGCCCCACCCATTGCGCACGTGGGCAAATTAACACGCTTCTCTCCAATGCCACACTGCATTTGCCGCGCGCACCATACGCGCGTGCACGCATGTCGGACATAAATCACGGCTGTGATTGGTCAGAATACCATGGGGCGGTGCTTACTGGATCGGTCCATTCACTAGTCACTGCCTTAATTGTGACTGACTGGCAATACGAAATTGGGTTTAAAATTGTGAGGAGTTCAATATCAATTCGTACGAATATACCCTTCAGTGCAAATACTCATTTAGTCCTAGTTAAAACCTCGTGAAAAGTGAAGCACGATGTTAGAATAGAGGTCTGGAGTTTATACTTTAACGATTTTACCTTTGATGTTTGGACGTAGATATCCTCCCCTCTGGACAGTCCAAAGTCTGAAACCTTAGCAATCAGCCCTTCAGATAGTAGGATGTTCCTGGCAGCCAAATCTCGGTGGATCACCTTTTTAGATCACAGAAAACCAAAAAAAAAAATACTATCAAACCCATTTTGGGAGCTGTTCTTTGATTCTCCTTGCAGACAAAGTCGTAGAAATTGCTTCATAAAAAACTCCCGTGTCAAATTTGATCGAAATCCGGGCCAGATAAGACTTGATACCTTTCCGAGTCAAAATTGCATTCTCTCATTCTCCAGGACCACTTGACACGAACAATGTTCATTATCATTAAAACACTTCTCATTTTAACCAAGAAAAGTGTTATTTATTTCCGGGTCGAGTCTGACTCGGAACTTATAAGAATGCAGGTTGCAATTTTGACCTGGAACGTGTTCAAGAGATGTGTCATTTGATCCAGATTTTTTTTTTTGATATTTTCCGTGACAAGTGTCTAACCGAATAGACGAGGATTTTGGATTATTATGACAAAGGACCTTTAAGAGTGTTAAACTACTTGGAACATCAACAGATCACCACGGGAAGATACTCCAAAAACAACGTACAACACCACTACCTGATAAACAGTATGACTCGACCAGACACTGTGATTCGTCCCGACTCGGCAAAACCTTCTTGATCTAATGACTCGAATCGACTAGAGTCAGTTGCCTAAAATGACTCGACTCGACTCAAGTCTCAAAATAAAATGATTCGTAATACAACTCTGGACTTTTGGGTGTAGGTTGCCATTTTGACTCGAAACGCAGGTGATCCAGAGAAGTGTCATTTTTGACCCAGAACAAAGTTTTGGTGTAACCAAGAAAAGTGTCAAGTCAAACAGAACTTTGATTTCGGGTCAAATCTGACAAGGGACTTTTTATTAGAGTATAAGAAAACCGAGCCTTTCCTAATGTGACAAAATTGCAAACACGCGATTCCTGCTCCTTACCCCCGCTTTAGCAAGGTGCTCCATTCCCTTGGCAACATCCAGAGCAAACTTGACCAGCTGATCGGAAGACAAGGCATCCTTGTCCAAGTCTGACTTTGAGCGAGCCGTCCGCAGGTAGCTGCGCAGATCACCGCGGGGAAGATACTCCAACGCGACGTACAACACCTCTGATTTAAAAAAAAAAAAAAAAAAAACAGGACATAATGAGTGTAACCCTTTGCAAAGTCAACTCGTTGACCATATCGTGTGAATTAAGCTGCTTGGACCGGCAATTAACCTATCGCGGTAGAAGCGCGTCACTGCAGCTTGTGAAATATTGTCAAATTACATGATATACAAATGGAAGCCGAACGCGCAAAATCTGAGACAAACCAAACTTAACTTACAATTCCATAGGGTTGTCGATAAGGGGCGTGGCTAAGGACATAGGTCACTAGACCAATCACCATTAAGACACGCCCCATTTTAGACCAAAGGAGGGGGTGATTAATGTCTGACATGCGTGCACAAAAGTCCGACATGCGTATGAAGTGCGGTTGGAACATGCAGCTTGGCATTGGAGAGGCGCACGTATTGGTTGCCTCCGTGGGTAGTGGGGGCGGG